AAAAAAATGGGCGGGGGAGTTCACAGGACTATGGTGATGGCACATGAGTGATTTGGTGATGGGAAGCCCACAGGGATTACAATTGAGATGGAAAAAGGCACAAAATGATGTAAAAATAAACTGTAATAATAATAATAAAAATGTTTCCTGAAGGATGCACAAATGAATGCATTTTAACCTGGAGTCTTTCTTTTCTTGCACTTCCTTGAAATAAGCATAGAAACTCAGTTCTGAAGGGTTACTAGGGCCAAGCTGTCTAGTCCCTCACCTGCTGCCTCCACCCCCTCTGCAGCATGCCTGGCAAGGGCCTTACTCTGGCGCTCCCAGACCTCCAGGGTGGAGGGCGCTCTGCTTTAGTGCCAACTCAGTGCTGGAAGGTTTTTTCTGGCTAGGTTATTGTGCACACTATGTAAAATTCAAAAGTACCTACCCATTTGGTATATGAAAATCACTCCATTTTCCTCATGGAGGAGGAAAACAAGTCTACACATCATCTACACATTGTCTACGTGCTTATGAAGATATAAAAAATATAGCAATGCTGGTCAATTATCAATAAAGATGGAGAATTATTAACTCAGAAAAAATGTTGATGAAACTTTTTTTTATTGTGACACTTTTAGATAATTATGAAAAGGAAAATACCAAAAAGTATCCTCTAATTCTAACCCTTAAAGGTAGTTTTATTAATACTTTGTTTTACTTCTAGATTTTTTGTTCTCTGTATTATTTTGTGATTACACAAAAAGTATTGGAATCATACTGTTTGGTAACTTTGTTTTACAGCTAGGTGATCAGACCACATCACATATCTGTAACTAGTATTTTAGGTTTCTGTATAGATTCCATTGTTATGAATATACCATAATTTACCCCAAAACCCCCACTGGTGATTGACCTTCATGTGGTTCCCAGACTTTTTGCTATTTATTTAAAATATTTATTTAATTTATTTAATAATCTTCTATTTAAAAGATTTTATTTATTTATTTTTGCATAGAAGAACTGGAGTGTAGGCCAGAGATGAGAGATGTGGGAGTCACCAGAGTTAGAGTTAGAGATGAGAGATGTGGGAGTCACCAGAGCAGAGAAAGCAGATGTACTGAAATACACTGCTGAGGAGAGCAGTGGGTGAGACAAGAGAGGTCTGCTGTGCCATGTAGGTCACCTCCCTGGCTGGGGATCTAACTCATTAATGCAGTGGCTGCAGATAGCTTCACAGTGCTGAGATTTTAACCCCAGTGCCACCAGGGAATTCCCTCCCCCTTCCTTCTTTGAAGCATTTCTTCTGTTAGATGGTTCTGCCTTTTGTAATAATTGATCTACATTACATTTTGAAATAATTGATCTCCCTGCAATTTCCACCCACCTCTCCTACTTCTGCTCTCTGGGACTCTA